ACCCATCTTACATTGGAATATAGCTACACTGTACAAATCTGGCTAAGTTATAGCTAGCTAGCTAACTGTATCCTTTTTGCCAACATTATCACTAGCAAAATGCAAGTGGAGACAGTCATATAATGGTACAAATCAAAAGATATAAAACTAAAATATGCACTTTCTAAACAAATAACCAGCTCAGGGCAGTTAGACAGCCATGACTTGGGTAAGTTGACCTAAACGTTACAAAGCTATTAAAGATACATTTAATATTATATATCAGGGGCTAACATGACCAGGACTCCAACTGGCATGGAGTATGCAACATATGTGGTGTGCATGTTGATGATATATAAGTTCCCAACTTTTCTGTTGTGCATTTTATTTTTTTAAAAAAGACTTGACATGCTCACATTAGAAAATCTCAAGCGCTGACACATGAGGCTAATAGAGAGACAGTCAAGAAACTGATCTTCCAAAAAGCCCTGTGGCCTATTTTTCACAATTAAAACGTGTTTATTAGACTTACTGATTACAAACCAGTCACTTCAAAAGTGAAATAAAAAATGTATATATTAATCATCCAGCAGCACCAGCCCAAAGCATGGAATTTGCTAAACTTTCATCCTAACAAAAACAAACCTATGCAGAAGTCTCAGGGTTAACATACCAAAGAATGCAACTAACGCAGAAAAACAGACATCACTGTAAAGCAAAAAAAAAGAAAAAAAAAGAAAAGAAAAAGGCCACTAAACGAGGAAATGGAAGCTACACAGATGGATGAGAAGTAAGCAGAACCAGCACAGCAGGTTGGATTTCAGTGTAATATCAGAATCAGTGTTAATTAGCAAAGGGAGAATGCAAGCAGTAAGATTTATAAAGACCACCTTGTGCACTCTGGCATGCTACCAGGTTTACTAAACTCCTCTGTTTCAATTATATCGGACGATTTTGAAAGTGGGCTCTTGTTTAATGATTGCTTGGAAAAAAATAAAAATCTAAAAGCTTTCCCAAATGGATTTTGTGGCCAAAAGCATTAGTGAGGACCACATGGAAATCTCTGCTGGATTTGCCAAATCAAGCCTGCGTGCTGTATTCATCAGGAAAAGCCTTTCTGGCCTCAAGCATTTTTGTCTCCAATTTATTTCTAGTTGGAGCACAGAATTGTTTTACTTTTATATTCAGGGAGAAAATATCTGTGTACAAGGTTGTTAAAAACCTTCTTGCGGTTAAGGTATAAAGCAAGTCAAGTACTGATTTTACAGACTTGTGAAAAGGAACAATGAGATCACTCAGATCACATTACTTTAAAGACACTGGTTCATTATTAGTGTCACCAATAGCATCTGAGCATCAAATATGATACAAGATTAGCCACCTGATGAAAGCTGAACAACAAATGACACTCTCTCTCCATAATATAGGCTTTTCCAGGTACTAAACATGAAAAACATGATCCCAAAATCATCTCAGAGCATCCGATCTGACTTGTATCTCAGTAAAATTATACACACATATATGTGAAAATGTGACCTCAAATAAATTATGCATTTACATTAAGTGTAAAAAAGAAAAGAAAATACTTTAAACAAAAACTTCAGATGACTCACCATAGTTGTAGTTGTTCTTCTCATAGGTTCTCATATTCATTCTGACTGACTTACATCTGCATCTATCTATGGACACACAAATTACAACTTTTCAAATAAGCACTGACAAAGGAAAGTTTCTTCCAAGCTCCATCTTAAAAATCCACATTTCCCAGTTAAATTTGCAGTGCCACATTGGAGTGAGCCAAGAAAGATCATCGTTGCAAGTTTAAATCCACTCAAGATTGTTGCTTGTCCGAGGGCATCTATGAATTTAGTTCTTCTTAAAACATGGACTGATATGACACATTTAAATTTGTTTACTTTCGTGGCCATTTGGACAGCACCCAGGATAGCTGTTGCCTCAGGTTAACAATTTTTGTACTTCCAATTGGCCAAATGTGGTCTGACTGTAACTATTAAGCTACACTCAGGGCCAAATATAAATATTATAAATACCACTGGTGTAGAATGATGTAAACTACACCAAAGGTCGGACATTAGACAGAAGTTACCTCCATCTGGTCCTCTGCAGTGAAGGTTGTTTGAGTCCATTGGGAAGTCTGGACTGGATTCTGTGAGGGGAATCAAACCCAGGAAAGACACGCTTTTTAGTAAAGTATTTTAACAGGTTCATAGTTAATTCATACCAGTGGTTTTCACTTTTGGGGTTTAAAATTGGTGTGTCAGACTTTCCGGCTTCTGAGGTGCGGCAGAAAACGTTTGACAACTACTGACATCGGGTAGTCCAGTGGTCAGAAAAAAAAATGCAGTCGTTTCCAGATCCAAATAAACACACACACACACACACACACACACACGCCAATTCATCACCGTTTGGTGTAAATCTGGTTGTGAGGCCTCAAGGTCTTTTTTCTACTTTAGCCAGCTTGAGGTTTTGAAACTTGATGTGATGAACGAGGGGTGGATCAGACAGAAATCGAGGGTGACAGCTGAACTCTTTAACACAACCAGTCATTGACGAATGATCATATCCTGGATAATGCTGGATGGAATAATCCTTCTGACATGATGAATAAAAAAAAAATTATAACATTTAGTAAAGATTTTATTCAATAATGACCCAGAATGAGACTGTGAGCCCCAAAACCCAAGTGTTTACAGATATAAGGGTCATTTTCACAGATTTCATAAGACTAGAAGTTTTTTTTTTTTTTTTGCAACCCTCAGGTGTTGCCCCCTACTGACCATCCTGTAGGCTTAAGGCTTTGCTTTTTAGGCCCTGGAAGATATTTTACATACAGACCATGTTAAGAAAATGGAAATGTTAAGGTTTAGCCTTACCTGGGTTACACCTGGCTGGGTCCTGGTGGTATGGATCTATGGATCAGAAAGATGGCAGTCAGAAATGAAAGAAACTTGTTCTTTTGGTTCGTGATAGAAAAAAAAAAAAAAAATGGTGGTCTTATTGGAATACAACTCAAACAGGTGGATCATTGCGCAGTGAAAGTAATGCACAAACTGCACAGAACAGTCATTATGACTTTAATATTCACTACTTCACCCCCAAGCAGGCCTGAGCCTCATTCTGCCAAATAGAAAGGTTTCTTTCTGTTAAAAGGGAGTTTTGTGTGTGTGCTTTAGAAGCATCATAATTTTGTTAATGTTGCTTCAGAACCAACAGGGGAAGTTTACTTTCAAAAGCTTTTGAGAAAGCACTGAAAGACCGTTTGGATAAAAATGAACCTTTTCACAAAAGTATATTTTTATGAAACTGAAAAAAAAAAAAAAAAAAAAAATAGAAATTGTAAAAACAATGAAAATAACAACAACTATTATAATGACGACGACAACTTTATACCCAAACCTAAGTAATCATTACCCCATTGGTTGTCACATGACATGAACTGCAGTTTGAATGTCCATCTCAGTCCGCTTCCTACACCGACTTTGTTGCACATTATCGGCTCTCATCAACTTTCTGAAGCCGGTGTGGGAGTAGATTTTGGTCTTTTTTGCCTAGTTGCAAAGCTATGACATCACCACAATGTGATTAGTCAGTTGCAATAAAAGTTCCAAGAGCAACATTATTTATAGTGTATGAATACCAACAGCATTTCATATATCCTCAAGCCTTAACCTTTTAACCAAGGCACCGTCGACTAAAGTGAAGAGCCCTCAGTTTGTTTTGCTTACCCTTTGAGTCAGACATCTGTTACATGTGTAAAGCAAAACTTCCTCCCTTTACACAGAAAGCAGCCAGTAGAGGTTGCTTCAAGTAGGGGGTTCTGTAGTGATATTCAACTGGAGGAAGAGGCTGGAAATTTGCGTCCCACCTGACCAGAAAAATATTTTCAACAAGAAGCTTGTGATCACTGTTACCATTGTGATCTGGACCTGGGCAAAATGGATGGTTAGCCTGTCCTGGAGGTTGTGGGAAAAGGTCCAGAAGGAAGGAAAATTAACTTTAGAGATATGTGGGACTTTGAATTTCTTTATTATTATCATTTTTTTTATTTATTTATAAATGCTGCCTCCTGCAAGGTACATACAGGCAGCACCCTTCTATAAACCAAACTGAATATTTTCATCCATCTATCTCATCAGAAAGAGCAACTGTGGAAAACGTCAATTTTTCAGAAACTTCCAAAGTTGCTCTGTAAAAACAGGCTTTAGCCTTGGCATCTGTATCGATAAGCCAGGTTCTTAATACAGACCTGAGATGCTACAATAACTTTCTATCTGCAGGGTTTCTGCACCCCGCCCAACAAACAAACAAACAAAAAGGTTAATAGGCCAGTCATTTTATTTCTCCTTTTCCCCCTGATATTGTAAAAACTAGATCATTATGGCAGATTAGCACATTAGCCTGTGGTGTGGCATTTAACTGCTCTGGAAGAGGTGAACTTAAAGAGATCAGACTTAAAAACTGCCTGAATGCCTTAGCCAGATTGGCCAGACAACTGCCAATACAGAGATATGTATTGCAGTTACCAATTTTGTAGGTTTACAGTTCTGCACAGAAAGTATGCCACCCTGGCAGCTGCTGTGCTACATCTATATAAATCTATATGAACCACCTTTTTAAGGTCACGTCACAGAATCTCAATCAGATTCAGGTCAAGACATTGACCAGGCCACTCCATAATCTTAATTTTGTGTTTCTTAAGCCATTCAGAGGTGGACCTGCTGCTCCTTTAGGATGCTTTGGTAGATGGCATTGTTTTATTTACCACAACAAGTCTACCAAGTCCTGAGGCAGCAAAACAGCCTCAGACTATCACACCATGACCACCAAATTTTACTGTTGGTATGTTGTTCCTTTTCTGAAATGCTCTGTTACTTTTTTTTTATTTTTATTTTTTTACGCCAGATGTAATGGGACGGACACCTTCCAAAAAGTTCAACTTTTGTCTCGTCAGTCCACAGAGGAATTTCTCAAGATGTTTTCTGGCATAGCTGAGACAAGCTCCTTTGCTCAGCAGTGGCTTTTGTCTTGGAACTCTCCCACGCAGGCAATTTTTGCCCAGTCTCTATCTTATGGTGGAATCATGAACGCTGACATTTACTGAGACAAGTGAGGCCTGCAGGTCTTTGGATGCTGTTCTGGGGTGTGACCTCTGTGACCTCTTGGATGAGTTGCTGCTGCACACTTTTTCACATTAATAATAAACACCTTAATTTAGAAACGGCATTTTGTGCTTTTTTGTGTCATCATTGTCTAATATCTAAATGTGTTTGATGATCTGAAACATTTAAGTGTGACAAACATACAAAAAAAAAAAATCTGGAAGGGGGCAAATACCTTTTCACACCACTTTATGTGCAGCTCTACCCAAAAAACAATAGAGGATAGGGAAAAGAGCTATGTGGGGTGGCAGCCAATCACGGGAAAAGCATAATACACTGATAATGACCTGGGAATTAGCTTTATGGTACAAGTCTCTGTTCTCATGCATCCATGTACCTCTAGGCGTGCAAAGGTAACTAGGGTTGTGAGCTGGTGTTTCAATACACTGACAAACTGCAGCTGCTTCTAGTTGTAGACAAACTTTTGTAAAGCAACATGCAGACCAGAGTCCCACAGAAAATCACTGGAATGACTTAAATGATTCACCCCGACAGAACCTCAGCAAACCAACAAATTACACCAAGGGAAAATCCCAAAGCACCGCTGAGCCAAGCCAAGCTGGGGCAGAACAGAGATATGTGGGTGTATCGTTATGGAGGTCAAGGGGATTGAGATGAAGGTTTTTTCTGGACTTGCTGGTCCTGGATCTGTTTGAAGGAGCAGAGGACAGTGAGGGTTTTATTGAGTGTAAAATGAGTGGGCCTCCTGTATCAAGGAGCTCTTTGAGAAAGTCTGTGGGAGTGAAGTCGGACAGGGAATGACTCATGTTATCTGAGAGGGAGCAGAAACAAACTGCTGAGAGTAGTATAGCATGATAGAAAACACTGATATATACTAAAAATTGCAGTGAGCGATCCTCGTCGGAGTTAGTCTCCATGTTGAGACTCTCAGGAGGAAAAAAAAGAAAGAGTGCAGTTCATACCATTTAAGATGTCACTGGTTTTACTATGCAAGAACTGGAGTACGAGTCATTTTCATGTTGTCATAATTCACTCTTAAAGATATCATACATGGCATTATTTATGTGGATCGCCTTTGCTATGGTTATTGCCAATGTATATATATTGTACTATTGTAAACCTACAATAACATGGAGAAACCCCAACAATCAGATGAACCCTTTATGAACAAACACTTTGGTGACAGTAGAAGACAAAACTCCCTTTTATCAGGAAGAAACCTCCAGCAGAACCAGGCACATCTGCTGGTCATGGAACATAGCTGCTCTTTATGGCACTTATGTGACTAATCTGCAGAGTCATTTTGTTACTTAATTACACATTCAAATTCAAAAGTTGTGTTGAAATTGACAGAATTCCTAAAAATATTCTGAAACTATGTTAAATAATGAAAACCCAATGTTTTAAATTAAACTCAAATGCTACAAATTAGTGAGACTGAAAAATGTTTTAGAAAGTGCACGTTTGTGTTTAATAGCAATGAAGGGCCATCACGTGAACAACCTCCCTCTTTGTCTTCACAAAGAAAAATATTTGCTCTTTTTGATTCAGAAAAATCTCAATAGTGAAGCAATATCTGTATTTTGAGGAGACACTCAGAATATCTTTGGTGAAAAGGCTAACCTTCCAATGCAGATGGTCCTTTCATTACTACAGACGCTATGAAAGATGGACGTAGCTTTCAGGTTTGAAAAGTAGAAACCAATGCAAAGCAACTTAAATCTGTCTTCTTTTCTACAAGGGTTGACCATTCTGGTGTTTTAGAAATCTGCAGGAAAATTGGCATCAGCCCTGACCTGTATGAACACTTTTCTGAGTTTATGGTTTGAGTCTCTCATTCTGAGTGATATCGGATAAAACGCCATGTCCACTTTGTAATTTTGGTCATTCTAAGTGTTGGAAAGACAGGATTATCAAAGTCACCCCTTTCTTATCACATCTGGTCTCAAAATACCAAAAAGGCAATGGCAGAAGCAATCAGGGTCTCATGTTACTGTAGCTGCGTCCATCTTTCACAGTCTTTGGTCATGCTGACAGACACTGGAATGTGGTATTAGTAAGAGTTTAGAGCCTGGTACATTTTACTTAGCTCCTCCAGTGGTCAAATACATGAATTAAACAGTGTCTGGCTTCAAATAATCATCTTATGAACTTTTTGTTCACAAGCTGATGTTAACTGTCCAAAAAGCTCAATAAAGATTACATTTCAAATTTGAATCAATCATTTGGTCATGCTCACTCACACCTTCATTCAGGACCTCTAAAAAGGAGCTGATTTTAAAGTTTATGTTGTTTATGATGTTCTTAATGTTTCCGCACTTCAACCAGAGTCACTGAACAGCTTCCTGTTACCATCCTTTTACTGTCTCTTGCACTTTTAAATGAAGGACATCCTTCAAGTACCAGCATGAACATTAGCATTGGAAATACGTCTTATTAGTTATAAAAATGGTGATTACTCGCTTAATATTTTTCCCCCTCTTTGTATTTTGTGCTTTTTTTTTAAAAAAAAAAAAAAAGATTTTTTAATAATCTTTGTCAATGTCAACATCATTTTGTGATGGTGAAACACAAAACCCCCCCAAAACAAAACAAAACACAACACAAGAACAATTTCCAGAATTAGGCTGTCTCAGGTCAAAATTGGCAGCCACACATATAACAGCAATAATATAAACAAATGAGTGTACCTGGTCCGTCTGCCTTGACGATGGCCTCAGGAGAGATGCAGACTCCACGGTCATAGAGTGGCAGCTCGCTGCAGGCCAGGTTGTCGGGCCAGCTGTGGTTGTAACGCTTCATCACCGGCTCACAGCCGAGCTTCGCCCGCTCGCACACTGCCTTACAGGGCTTGATTGGCTCATGCTGGAAGTCAATAGTACAGATTGGCGCGTACATGGCACATAAGAAAAAGAGCAAATCCGGACTGCAACCAGTACCTTGAAGAAGAAGGGAAACACAGGTTATATTTGCAATTTCATTAGAGAGCATAAATGATGAGCAGCTGAAATGACAAAATAAAAATCAGTAGGGTGGCAGCTATTGAATTTAGTCCACCCGCCCTGGAGTCACTTCCCCCGCCCACACCAGGTGTATCATGTACACCTGGTGTGAACTCTTATGCCATTGTGCCAAGTTTTAAGTAGAACTTGTGATTTTCCCAGGTAAAATAAGGTCAGTGTAGTTCCCCACTCTCACTCTGTGTATACGAGTTCCATGTACACCCAACACCCTCCCTCCATAAACTCAATACTTTTGTTAACAGAGCGTCCAAGCAATCAAGCGGTATAAAGACATTTTTCCATGGATTTGTATATAAAGGCAGAATCTGTGGAAAGATGTCTTTTTGCAATAAAAATAGCTGCAAATAGCTCTAAATACAGATGTTTTGCTAGAGGCAGCTTTAGTCACAATATTTATGGATTACAGCCCACATGTCTAACACAGCAAATATGCAATGTTACTCAAGAAAGTTACACAATATCTTATATGGTTAAAATAAATAAATAATGAGGACAAATTGGAGCACTTAGGAAAATATGTTGTGAACACCTGCAAGCATTAAAAAAAACAAAAAAAAACAAAACAGACATTTTTTTAGCAAATGGTGTCCATCCTGGAAATATCTTTTTTATTTTCTTTTTAAATCCATGTGGTAGCAACACAAGTCATTGGTGATGCTGACTGGAAGCTCCTGTGACTCTTACTCTGGAGAAAGACGAAGGCATCCAAAAGCTCGCTGCTCCATTTCAAACAGACCCATTAATAAAGTGACCTTCCACACTTTTCACTAATAGTGAGTTAGTTAGTACAATAACTCGTACTACTAGCTAGCATGACGGAGTTTCTATACAGCTAGGTGGGTGCTATGATGTTACTCATAGTGAACTTTATTTTATTCATAAGGTTAGTTAGTAGAGTTGCCAACCGTCCTGTAAAAAACGGAATTATCCCGTATTAAGAGAAAATATTACGCGTTTCGTATTGAGCTGAAAAGGAGCACAGTTTGTCCCGGACTTCAGCTACAATGGAAAAAGACAAAGCTGGAGTTATTCCGTGTCTTTACGCTGCACAGCTATTTCTTCTTCTCTCATTCTCTCCCCCTCCCTCTCCTTTTGCTACTTCAATCATGAAAACTGATCAATGATCAGCTTTTTTCTTGTCTGTTTATTGCCCACTTTGCACCAGAAAGAGGAAACCGCCGGATGTCGCGCTAAACAACAGCAGCACGTTTAAGCTTGATCAGCTGTTGTTAGAATTTATTTAATATTAATTTCTAGTATCAGCTGATGTTTGCTGCAGCCACAGCTGTAAAAGCTGCTGGTCATGATATCGGTTTGTATATCTGGTGAGAGGGAAACATGAAGATGAAACCAGGAGATGTCCTTACTGAATCATCAGAGCTGAACAGGTGATGGAGAAACAGGTTTACCTTTTAGGTGACATGAATGAGTTGAAGGGAAGTTATGAACTGTTTCTGAGAGACAAATAACACCAGGATCCTTTCTGTGTAGCTGACAGCTGGTAACTGTGCAGGGGCGGGTCTAGCAAAGTTTTGCCAGGGGGCCAGGTAGGGCATTAACAGGGAAAGGGGGCACAAAGAAATACTTTCTTATTTTCATTTAAAATGTCTGGCTTTTATTAAATAATTATCTGAATCTTTCAACCAAAGTTTTTATCTGACATAAAATGTATAGAAATCATACATATACCAACAAGACAGTGTACATCACTGTCACCACAGCGTTTGTTTTCATTCAAAAGCTTTATGACTTTTCCTAAAATACCTGGGGGGCCGGTCTCTAGTCAAAGTGCCCGGGCCAATTTTTTGTCCCAGTCCAGCCCTGGCCACGACCGGTTGGGGTGAGAAAAGGAAGACAGAAAGGTTGTCACCAAGTGCTCACCCACTGGGAATTCTTCACCTTTTAAATGGTATTTCAGAATTACGTTACATGCTATGACCAAGAAGCTTTCATATCCACACTTGTTGTAGAAATATTTAAGGACGGTTGTTCAGTCTCAGCTCACTTAATTTGAGCCCTCTAGATAGACTCATGTCTTCTTCATGTCAGTGAAGACATGGTGCATTCAGGGACCCCTAGCTGAACAAACACTGGACTTGTACCATCTGCCATCCTGCTGCATGTTTCAAACAGGATGAGACCAGAAAGAGTTTAGCACTGGGTCGAGGATGGATCAGTGCTTTTATTGCAGAGTGGGTCTGAGGTTTGGCTGTACCACTTCACAGTAAAGTCACAGAAATAGCTTGAACTTGTGACCTCAAACTGCTTCCTGGTTTTTGGCCCAGAGCTCTTTCATTAGGACATTTTTCTGGTTAAAGCAGAGTCCTTTTTAACCACTTTTTAAAATCTTCATTCCGCCCACCTCAGCCAGCACCTAAATGTATTTATTGAAGACAGACATGGATAAATCATGAACTAATATGGCAGGAAATGAGACTGCAGAAACCTCAAACAGTGAAGATTACTGATGAATGTGACCACATATGCAGTTATCAATGCTTGTCTCACATGGAAATGTGAAATGGTCGCTTATTACAAGTTAAACGACTGGGAGAAATGATCCGATTAGAGAAAAAATAAGAATGAACACGTATACATATTTCAAATTTAAATCTACATTAGCAAAAAATTCAAAATATGGTTGTAGAAATGGATAAAAGAATTTAAGTCAAACTGCTGGTTTGAAGTAAGAAAAAGGTTGGCTTTTACAACAAGGACGTTATTATACAGCCCTATTTTAAAGTATCTTATTCACCATTTTAAGTTAGCAAATTTTAGTACAAACAAAAAGCCTTGAGCCAGTGCACATTTCTGTATATTTTGAAAGATTTTCTTTGCACATTGGCTACCTTTTTCTCTTCCACCACTGCTCTATCCTCTTTCCACCTCCTTACCTCATGTCTCATTACCTACACAGAAGTTGGGGCTCTAACACATGAAAATGTGCATAAACGGGCTTATTTATTCTGATGTTGTCACAGTTATTTGTCAATGGATTCTCACGTGATGACAGTGTATTCGCCAAGTGTGCAAGGATCCAACAGGCTAACAGCAACTAACAGCAGCAAGAAAGCAGCGTTTACTAACAGAAAAGGTCAGGAAATTCTCAACCACTCACACGAGTTGTCTGTCCCACAGCCGCTACCTTAGCTTCAATTAAGCACTTGAAACAGAATTCAGTTGACTGCAATATACTGACATCTAGTGGTGACATTTTACACACAGTATCTCTTAAATAAATAATAAAAGAAATCCAGCCTGACACAAAACCTGAGAGCTGCATCTGGCCCTTCCACTGATCCATCTACTGCAGGGGTCCCCAATCCCAGTCCACGAGGGCTGGTGTCCCTGGAGGTTTTAGATCTCACCCTGGGTCAACACACCTGAATCACATGATTAGTTCATTACCAGGCCTCTGGAGAACTTCAGGACATGTTGAGAAGGTAATTTATCCATTTAAATCAGCTGTGATGGATCAAGGACACATCTAAAACCTGCAGGGACACCGGCCCTCGTGGACTGGGATTGGGGACCTCTGATCTACTGTTTGGCTCTTTGAGGTATCATCAGAAACGGTCTCAGTAGAAGGGTGGCTGTCAAGAACCCATCCTTAAGGAAAGGGAACAGGGCAAAAAAAACTGAGGTACGGAAAATTACCCAAGGCCTGGACTGAAAATCAGTGGCAACAGGTATAGTAGAGTAATGAAGACTCTTTGAAGCAAAACATTTTAATTATGAAGTTAATATGTAAGGAGTAGGTCAGGAGAGAGGTACCCTCTGAAAGTTTGGAATTTATGGTTCAAACTGCTGTTAGTATGGATGGAGGAGATCAGCCAAAGTAACCAAACCAAACCTAACTGTGGCAGCCTGCCCAAACCTTTAATCAGAACTCATATTTAGTTTAGTTAGTTTATTTTTAACCAGACAGTGATGGCATGTGTAGAGAACGTGCAGGATTGAAAAGCAATGTTACTTGCCAAATCCTACAGAGAGATAGTAATATTTGATATCCGCAGATATGCTCCGAGGCAGTTCCTGTTACAGTTTACTTAATAAATGTAAATTTCATGCATTTTGACTGGGGCGATCCTACTTCCACTGACCTCTATAATGACCTATTCCACTCGAGTGGAAGGAGAAAAGACTATTTAATCTAATTTGCCTAATTTTATCGGTCTGATGGATTAGAAATTTTTACTTAACTGAATTACCACATACATCAAATGGTAGTGAAAATAAAATCATAATGAGGGGAAAAAAGTTAAAGCTATTTTTTAAGGAGCTAACTAGCCTTGCTTAGCAGCTACAGTAAAACTGTAACATTTCATGTGGTTAAACTACTTTTAAATCATATAATGCAAAACCAATGTAAAATCACCTGCAATAAAAATAACATTTTTTGTTAACCTGACTTGCTAGAATATATATGAGTGAAATAAGTAGTGAGACTGTGCATTGCACCATGGCAATTTCAAAAGACAAAGAATCAAGAATAACTTTTTTTTTAATATGCAAAAGGAACCAATCCTATTTATTTCCACTGTGGGGCTAACTTATCAGGCAAACAGTCTCCCTGATGGGAGACTTTTAGATTTGGAGTTGAACTGTTATTATGTATGGCTTAATTATTCCAGTTATCATTATTATTATCATTAGTAGGGGACTAGCAGTAGTAGTAGTAGTAGCCTTAAAGGCACGCAAGCTAGTAGGGCGCGTTTTTACGTGAACTTAAGCACTGCACCGACGGTCAAGTGTAAAATGAATAAGGATTATTTTGTACTTTGAGCCACACAAAGCTACTCTCATGGAGTCTGGAAATAATAACAAAGGAGCATATTAGTCCCTTTCAATGGAAGAATACATCCTATTATATCTAAGTAAAATTAACAGACCCCTTTATCTTAACCCCCCCCAAAAAAAACCAACAACTCCCATAATCCTACAGTTTTTACAGTTTTGCTCAGGATTTATAGCTCAACAAGCCACGCTTAAAATGAAGAGAAGGTGGTCATTTAAAATAAATAAATAAATGAATAATAACTTCTGTGCCATTTTCCAAGGTTCTCATTATTTCTAGTTCTGAAAAAAGATTTCTGCTCAGAAAACGCAGCACTTTCAAAACTATATGTAAATGAGTGTTGTCGGTACAGACGGCCATAATTCTAATATTTAGAAACATGAGGTCAGAGGTCTAAAGACTAAAATTTGCCAATTGGATGCAATAGGTGACCAGCTGATGTCTGCTGGCATTAAGGTCAGCTTACCTGCTAAGTGTGCTGACTACACGGCCTGCCAAAGCTAAAACCTTTGAAAAGTGAAAGCCTCCAGGCAGGGTTAAGCAGGGTCAATTACTCCACCGATTATGTTCCTGATTGATTTTTTATTTTTGCCTACAATTTACTACCAGACAACTAACATGGCCATCAAAAGTTCCCACAGTCTAAAGTGACATGTTCACAAGTCTTGTTTCTTCCTACAAAGCAAATGGACCAACATTTTATTCACAGTGTTATAAAACAGAAAATGGAAAGAGCCGAATTGTTTTTGCACTATTTGAATGAGTGTGGCTGTGTTGTTTTGTTTGTGCTCCTTGGTCATTCAGTTATATACCCTGAATATGGAAGAAAGACAGAAAAAGGATTAATTTAGCCAACTGATTAGTTAAAACCATGAGTGTTTGACAGCTTTACTAGAAAAATGACTTTTGCCTCAGGTGTATTGTTGGTTGAATAAAAATATTTAGACTACCATCTTATTCAAAACTGCAAATAATACATAATTACAAAGATGTTTCCATCAGAAATGCCAGATACATGTACACAAGTTTGAACACTAACGCACTGGTTTAAAAATCAGTCTTTTGTACAACAAGCTTCTCAACCAGTTAAAAATGATGCCAAACGGGCTCATTTTCAAACTTTATTATACCGCAGGTATTTTCACCAGAAAATGGAAACAGATTTTTGTCAAGGATTTTTTAGGAAATACCAGGAACTCAATTTCCAGTATTCAAACCAACTCATGCTATGATTCTTCACGGTCAATTGGCTGGCTAATTAGAAAAAAATGGAATGTCATCCCTTGCGGCGAAACAATTGAAATTCCTGTTTTTCCTGGACAACGTCCACAGCTCGGAGATCATTTCAGAATCTTGAACGCTCTTGTAACCAAATTCATGTGAACCCAAGAGGCTGAAAATGCTCAGGTTCCTCCTCCTGTAGCCAGCTGTAATTCTGATGTCTGCTGTCTTGGATTAGTGCTACAGTCAGACCAGAAAGTGGGTTGTCACTGACCAACTGTTCAAAATATGGTTGCTCCATTACAGAGTACTGCTACAGCAGCCAAAAAAGAAAGGCAGAAAAAGGTTTCCATAATCTCTAAGTGAATCGATGGTTTCAGTGATCAGACCAGATCCAGCCCTGCTCCACCACAAAACGTCTTGACATTTTTCCTGCAGGTCTGCTGGAAATACTTGGCAGTAGTTAGTATTTTATTAGTTTATATTTGACTAGCATTTATTACTAGTCAACATCTGGGGGTGAGAGATCTAAGTCTGAGGGTCAGGTGGTCAAAAGCTGATATAAAAATATTACTGAATCCCAATTACATGCATATTTAAGAAGAAAGGTAAATAAAGCAAAGTAAAGTATCTGACACTGATTATACCCACTGCTGTGCATATAATAATAATAATAATAATAATAATAATAATAATAATTATTATTATTATTATTATTATTATTATATAAAAATTGATGTCTTTATAATAATAATAATAATAATAATAATGAGGATTATTATTATTATTATTATTATAATAAAGACATCCATTTAGTTCATGATAACATTCACTAATCAGTATTTTGGGATGTGATCATCTGTTATTGCACAGAAGAAAAACTATTTTTATGGTTTCCATAAGTACATTGGAAGGTTGGAAATTTGAATATATCTGATTGGGGGCATATGTCCCCTCAAATATATATGATGATTACGGCCCTGGAAAAAACACTCGTAATTTTAGAGAAGTGACCTATTCAAGTGTTTGTTCTTCACTCCACTTTCTGTATGTACATTAAAGCCTCCTTACTTTAATTTCATCATTTCTGAGTTATGTGCCAAATAACATTACAGCGATGTTATGATTGGTCAGGTGTTCATGTTAATGTCAGGGCAACGTGCAGATGATAAAGAGGTCATCCCAGGTTCTTCCAGCCTTTGCCCGACTTGTTAACTAATCTGTGTGCCCTAAATAGCGCTTTAACTGCTTATTAGCGACTTCAAAAATCAAAAATCGTGAACAGTAAGTTAAAAATAAAGTTGTGGGGAAAACGTTTACATGTTTTCACGAGAACCTGAAAAATCACTGTGCGATTGCTTCTACGGTCAGTTAATTACACACCAGGTTCTTCAATGACTTAATTAACTGCCCAATTAAAAAAAGTTTATTAGGGCACTGAGGGGCAGTAACTCACCCAGCAGCCCCTCAAACTGCTCGATGGCCAGCACCGCGTTGTCCTGCGTGCTGTGGTGGAGATGGTTCGGCATCTTGGTCATGTTCCAGGGCATGGACCGGCACAGCGGGATCCGCACCGTCTCGCAGGACGCCGCCCGGACCGCAGCCGGCCACAGCGCGCAGGACACGGCCAGCAGAGACACGGCGAGCCCCAGAGAGAGCATGTCGGTCGGTTCACAGAGGGTATGGGGGCACAGTGAAGTGAGGGCAGCGCAGGTCCGTGCTCCGGTGAAGACTCGCTCATTCACTTCGAGTTAAATCCCAAATTAGACGCGATTTTCCTGCTGATTGGTGCTTTTCTGCTGCTGCCGTCCGGTCCGCAGACAGCGGGAGGGAGGAGCTGCTTTCTTATGCACACTTCAACCTCCTCCTCTTCCTCTATCCCTCCTTCTCTCTCCAGCTCCCCTCGTCTCACCTCTCCTCCTCTCCTTTCCCCCTTCTTATCCTCCATACTAAAAGATAGATTCCTTTTAGATGAAAAGTCAACACGAGTAAAGCCGTGAAAAGCTCGTAGATGTGTGTGTGTGTGTGTGTCATTACATTTTACGAAATCAGTGGTTAGACCTCATACAGTTAACTTTAAGAGAAGGTAAGAGCGTGAGAAAAGTAAAATCTGTCTTTTTTTTTTTTTTTTTTTAAATATTAGAAAACACTTGAAGTGTTATAAACGCCATCTACTGCTGAAAGTGATGTCCGTATCAAATGGGAAAATTCTTGTACCTGACCATTTTCAGACGATAACGCCAACTTTGGATTTTGTGCTTCAGATTGCTATCAGTATGTAGGGAGGACGCATACAGTGTGCAGCTGTCAGTAAAACACGGTGGAGGCTCTGTCATGGTTTGGACTGCATTACAGCTGATAGTGTTGTCATAACTGATGATATTATGAATGCAGATTTTGATCCAACATGCAATACCATGTAGCATGTGAATGGCAGTGGCTTCACCTTTCAACACACTGCAGTAAAACATTGTTTAAATACACATTTCTCAAACACTCTGTAAATATAGTAAAGGTACATTGGAATAGAGAGACACAACAGAACGCTATCAGGACCCAGACCTCAACATCATTGAAGCAGTGGTGGATCATCTTCACAGAGAACTGAACAAAAGGCAGGAAACGTCCAAAGAAGAGCTTTGAAAGTCTTTCAAGAAACCTGGAGAACCAGTGCTAAAGACTACTTAAAGAAATGACAAGAAAGCTGCTGAAGAGAGTTCAGGCTATGTTAGAGAATAAAGGCGGTCATACCAAATGTTGACTTTTAGGATAGTTAAAAATGAACAAACTTTATTTTTATCATACTGTCTGTTCATGTATGTTTGCATATGCTTTAATAAACTGCTGCAATGCCTCAAGACATTTGAATAGTGTCATTTATAACAATATCAAATTCAAACAAGAACAAACAAAGACAATTTCACAAACTAATCTATACTGATATAACTTTCTGAACCCAGGCATTACATTTCCTGCTATGTTTGGAGTTTAGAAGTCTCAAAGTGCTCTCTTTTGAAAAGTAACATGTGACAAAAGCTATCATGTAGGCGAAGCAAAAATGTTTTCCTCTGAGGTAAAGGGGAATAGAAGCTGAAATGATTAAAAATAAAAAATATGCATTTAAAGTACAAACACGGACACATCTTATCACAAAGTCTACAATTGATCAAGACTAGATTACAAATTGTCCACTGGAAGAAGTCTCTGTAAAACAGATTCTGTATCTGCATATGCAGAACAGACCATCACCAGTGCATGGGCACAGAAGCATAATCTTTATGAAAATTCAAAATGTTTACAATGAAAAGCTGAATAGAGTTTGATCCAGCTCTTTGGTGTGAGCTAAACTGTGACATCCCCTCATTTGTTGTAGATCAGAGGGTGGAGTGCTACATTATCATCTAAAGGCTACCAGGTTGAGTTAGAAAGCTCTATGACTCTATGGACACTGTTAAGTAGTACCAAAGGCCATATTATTTGTCAGACAGCACCAAAGTCAAGCAAAGTGGCCACATCCCAAAGGAAAAAAAAAACCCATACAGTTATTATGAAGGAGAAAATTAGCTATAGAGACCTGCATGAAGCCTGCTATAAAGTTTGAGATTTTGGGGACTGATTTGCTTTTGGAGCCAGACCCAGGTGGTCGTTTGAGGAACCACCTGGGTCACTGCACCTTTTTTTCAGCCCTGGGGGAGCTACGGTTGGTACTGCGAGTTAATGAAGTGTGTGGGAAAACAATAACAACAATACAGAGAAGCTTCCAATAAAAATAGGGATTCCCTGTGGAATAACTAAAGGAAACAGAGAGCAAAAGTAGGACCCACACCTGAAATTAGCAAAAAAAAACCCAACAAAATTTCCCATTCTTTCACGTGGTTGAAGTCTTACACTGTGCTCTTATAGCTGTTGCAAAGACAATCAGGCACTTGATACGACCTGCTAACAGCAAGTACTGGGGACCTGTAACTGATTCAGTGGTTCACTGGCCGTCGACCTTTGACCTCCGCAGGCTTGTTGCATTAACAGCTCTGTTATTGGTCCAATAAAGCTGAAAATGACGCAGCAAACTACAGCAGTGTGTGTGTGTGTGTGTATGTGTTGACAGCAGTAATGGTTGTCAGATGTTGGAGGAGCTTCCCATGTTAGGGTTGAGTTACAGCCAGCACTCACACACACACAGACACACACACCCGGACTTGGTCTCTCTGGGTTTTGTGACTCATGGATCAACAAGCAGATAACTGAGTCAGCACTTTCCCTTCTATCCTTCCTTCATTCCTTCCTTCCTTTCCATACTCCTCTCACTATTGCTTCCTTCTTTTGCTTTCTCTCCCAAGTGTGTGTGTTTTTTTTCTGACGTAAAACCCCTCTCGCATTTGGCAGGAAAATCTTATCAGAGGAATGAACACACACACACACACACACACACATTAACTGTTTCTTGCACAGTGAATGCACATTCCAGTGAAAGTGAAAAAACCCTGCTCATTTTCTCTCCTCTCCACTGTCTGAGAAGCAAAACAAACCTGCAACCTGACTCCGTTGCGTGAATGTGTGTTTGCACCTCTGTCCTTTTGGGATCCAGTGTAAGTTTTGGGACAGACCTCCAAAGAGGTTTAGGTTAGAATGAGGTTCAGGTGCGTGGGAATGCGCTGCTGTCACTGATGGTCCTCACAAAGATAGCCACACTAACATGTGTGCTGAGGGAATGAAAATTTCAGCCAAAAGAAAACTCTTTCTCTCCGTATGTGGACATATTCTTGGAAACTACCAGAATCTTTTCCAACAAAAATAAGACTGCAGCTGTCCACACACACAGATGCGCGCACCGCACACACAAGTACATCCACATATATGCATGCAAACACACACACACACACGCACACACGCACGCACGCACGCACGCACACACACACACACACACACACACATGGTACAAGGACTGAAAGTAATCTGGAATGATTACTGATTTTGCTACAGAGCCTGAAATTGGAGCTAAAAACGTGAGTATTGCCCTGAGGGTGGTGTTTAAGGAGAAGTCACGGGGGCATTAAAGGAGAACTGATTTCACATCGCACTCCCATGACACTATCAGATTCATGATGGATAGTTTTAAAAAGTAACTGCAGCAGAATCAGAAAAAGTGTCCTTTTTGCTTTCATATGATCTTCTTCCTTGTTGACAGCATTGCCTACATTACCCACAATGCAGTTTCATCTATCAGCGAGATTGTAGTCAAAGTCAAAGTCAAATTTATTTATATAGCTCATTTAAAACTACAACTGTTGACCGAAGTGCTGTACATTTAAGACAATCAAAAGATATAAAAACATCCAAGCCAAGAAATAAAAGTGGGTTTTCAGACAGGTTTTGAAAGTGTCCAATGTTGGGGAGGTCCTGATGTGAAGGGGCAGTTTGTTCCACAATTTAGAAGCAGTCACAGCAAAGGCCCGATCTCCTCTCTACTTTAATCTGGACCTTGGGACAGCCAGGAGCATTTGATCCGCAGACCTCAGTGATCTTGCAGGAGTATACGAATTTAAAACATCAGAAAGGTATGAGCGTGCTAACCCATGCAACGCCTTAAAAACAAATAATAAAATCTTTAAATTAATTTGAAAACTAACTGGCAGCCAGTGAAAGGATGACAGTATGAGAGATATGTGGTCTCGCTTGCATGTGCCAGTTAGTAACCGTGCAGAAGCGTTTTGGACCAGCTGCAGTCGGCTAACAGATGACAGACTAACACCAGTGTAAAGTTGCAGTAAACTGTCTCTGGCGCTGGAAAGTGTGGCAACACCAAAGAGCCAAAAACCTTCTTTATGGCTGGTAGATAAGCTGAAAAAGCAGTTTAATGTCAAACATGAGGTCCAGAGTGTGGTCCAGTCTGAAGGAGGGCACACATTTTGGGATTTTACCTGTACTTTTATATACTTTAGAGATGTCCTATAGGTAAAGATCTCCCCCACAGCCATTCATATCATATTACAGTAATGAATAAACAATTAACAGCAAAGTGACAGGAGAGTTTCTGTTTTTTCCACCATCTACTGTAGAAATATCAGTTTTTTAAAAAAAAAAAAACGTTTTCATGGTAAAATATTTTTTTTTTTTACATCTTTCCATTTTATAATTACCATTAAAAAATACCAGAACTTTCTCTGTAATTTGAAACATTTATTTTCGGACAATGTAAGTCCAAAGAATTTAGCTGACAGTTTATCTGACACATCTAAATGTACTACAGCACCATTTCTTTATCATTGTGGCGTGGGTGTGGTCTCTGGCCAGCTGCAGAGGAGGGGTGACGCAGTGAGCTCCCGGGGCGGCGCAGGGGCGGGGTGAGCAGGTGTGCCGGGATCTGAACGTGATTGTGACTCTTTATGTTCACAGTGACAGTCGGAGCGGGAGGAGAGCGGACTTGACAGCAGAGAGCGGGAGTGTCTGTGTCCCAGTGAAAGACAAAAACCACAGTTACAAATAAAAGTTCTGCTGTCATCCCATTCGTGTCCAGTGTATGCTTAACGGGTCGAACGTCACAATCATGTTATAAAAAAGAGACATTTTATTGAAACTACACTTCTTTTGTACACTTTTCTTCTGTTTCGGGGATATGGCTGCACAGATCAGAGTGGGCTCTTTGTGGCCCGTGATGTAAAATGACTTTGACATCACCGATTTAGATGATTTTAGTATGGAAATAGTTTAAAAGCCACATCTGTGCGCGTGAATGTCAGATTGTTGATTTACTGACACACTTGCCTACAATTTGATAAAATGTACACAGACAGAGTTTTGTATGTTCAGCTGCCACACATCAGA